CGGCGCGCGGCCGGCCGCGGTCGCCGCGGTTTTGGCCGCCGCGGGCGCCGCGCTCGGCGCGCTCGAGGGCTGGCCGCCGGCCGACGGCCCCTACTTCGCCTTCGTCACGGCGACGACGCTCGGCTACGGCGACCACGCGCCGCTGTCGCCGCGCGGCCGCGTCGCCGCGGCGGCCCTCGCGCTCGGCGCCGTCGGCGCCGCGCCGGCCGCGGAGCAGGACAAGGGTGATTCAACGTCGCTTCAACGTGAGTGTTCCGCGCGCGCGCGTTTCGGAAACAGCGCCCACGCTTCGAGAGCGCTCCGAGAGATGATCGCTCGTCCAAAAATCAGCCGAAACGAGCGGAAAACGACCGAGATAGGAGCCTTTGAAGTTGGGAATGTCGCACCCTTTTCCTGCCCAGGCCGGCCGTCGTCGACGCGGCCCACGCGACGCTCGCCGACGCCGCGCGGGCCCTCGCCGGCGTCCGCGACGACGCGCCGCGAAGGCCGAAGAAGCGCGTCTAAGGAGGAGCCTGGAGGCAACATGACGCAAACGTCCCATCAAGGTGCTCAAGGTCAAGGACGCCTTCAGTCGAGGCACGCTCTGCTTCGTGGCGAGAGTATTGCTCCGCGCGCCGCGATGGGTGAGATCACGCTGGGCCAGCGCATGGTCGCGGCGAGCGCCGGCGCGACGCTCACGGCGCTCGTCGTGACGCCCATGGACGCGCGGCGCCCGCGCCCCGCCGCCCGTCGACCCGCGCCGCGCACGCGCCCCCCCTGCTCTAGGTCGTCAAGACGCGGCTCCAGCTGTCGTCCGGCGTCGCGTCCGGCGCCGGCGAGCTCGCCAAGTGCTCGAGCTGCGGCGTCTTCGTGCTGAACAACGGCCTCATGGAGCACACGCTGCCGAAGCGCGCGGCGCCGCGCATCTTCGACTGCGGCGAGCCCGGCGCGCGCGAGCCCGCGTCGTGAATTTCGAGAGATGTGGGGCGGGCGCACGACGAGCGACCGTCACCGTCGCCCTCGGTAGGTGCGAGCCCGCGGCGGCGCCGCGCGCGGCGCCGCGGCGGCCCGAGATCGTCGAGACGGCGCTGCTGTTGGGCCGCATCGCGCGGGCCGAGGGCGCCGCGGGTTTGTACGCGGGCCTGGGGCCGACGCTCGCCATGGCCGTGCCGAACACGGTGCTCTACTTCACGGCCTACGACGAGCTCCGGCGCGCGCTCGGCGACGTCGCCGCCGCGCCGGCGGTCGCCGGCGCCGCCGCGCGGTGCCTCGCGACGGCGGCCGTCGCGCCCTTCGAGCTCGCGCGGACCCAGCTCCAGGCGCTGCCCCCGGAGGGCCGCGGCGCCTACGGCGCCGCGCTCCGGCGCACCGTCGCCGCGCGCGGCGCCGCGAGCCTCTGGCGGGGCCTCGGGTCGACGCTCTGGCGCGACGTGCCCTTCTCGGCCTGCTACTGGCTCGCCTACGAGCGGCTCCGGGGCGGCAACCGGCGAAACGACGGCGCCGCGGCCGCGGGCGCCGCGGGCGTCGCCGCGGGCGCGCTCGCGGCGCTCGCGACGACGCCCTTCGACGTCGCGAAGACGCGCGCCATGGTCGACGCGCACCTCGACCGCGGCGGCGACCCGTCGACCTGGGAAAACATGCGGACCATCGCCCGGGCCGAGGGCCCGCGCGCGCTCCTCGCGGGCGCCGCGCCGCGGCTCCTCAAGGTCGCGCCGGCCTGCGGCATCATGATCGGCTCCTACGAGTACGCCAAGGCCGCCTTCGCGGGGGCCTAACGCGACGTTTTTCTTCTCCTTTCGGGGCGCGGCTCGATCCGAGCGGGTGCGCGTCGCCTTTAGGCCGCGTCCTCGGGCGGCGGGATCGTCGCCGGGCGTGGTCGGCGCGGGGGGGGGGGGGGGGGCATGGGGCGGCCGTCGAGGCGGTGTGAGGCGGGACGGCGGCGTCGGGGAGAGGGGCCGTCGAGGCGGTGTGAGGCGGGACGGCGGGGGGGAGGGCTCGCTTGTTCGGCGCGGCCGCCGGCCCGGGCGACTTGGGTCGCGCGGCGCGGGGCGGCCCGAGCACCGTCTAATTCGTGAGCTCCTCGTCGGGGCTCTTCTTGTCGTCGTCGGCGACCTGGATGGCGTCGAGCTCGAGGTCCTTGGCCGGGAGGAGCGCGTCGTCGTCGCCGTCGAGGCGCGGCACGATGATGAAGGGCTGCTTCGCCTTGTCGCCGCCGACGTAGACGTCGACGTAGGAGAAGATGACCGTCGCCGCGGCGGAGACGAGGGGCACGACGATGAAGGTGACCATGAGCTTCGTGCCGCAGAGCGCGCACTCGTAGGGGCTGCCGTCGGACTTGGAATTGATGCCCCAGAAATACGCGAACGCGGACTTGTCGTAGACTTTCCCCGTGTAGGGGTTCACGGCCTTGTTGACGTCGTTGATCTCGCCGTTGACCATCACCGCGGCGATGCCCGCCAAGGCGCCGAGGAACGCGCCGAGCTCCGTCGGCGCCGGGATCGTCAGCGGGCCCACGACCAAATCGTCCGTCCACAGACCCAGGAAGAGCGGGAAGACGGCCGTCGCGCACACCAAATCCGCCACGAGGAACAGGGGCACGACCTCGAAGCGGTCCGACGCCTGGATGATCGCGGCGATGTTGAAGCCGACGACGACGAGGCGCGACCAGTTCGTGTTGAGCTTCTGCTTGAGCAGGTCGCGGCTTAAGACGGAGGCGATGCCGTTCTGGAGCGTGTCCAACGACGACGCCGCGAGCGTCGTCAGGAGCGCCAGGGTCACGTAGTGCCAGAAGCGCGGCAGGTTCCGCAGGAGGTCGAAGAAGGAGAGGTAGGCCAGTTTCTGCCACGTGTCGTACGACTCGCGGTCGCGCGCGTACGCGATGGTGCCCATGACGCCGAAGAACAACATGACGAGCGTCACGAGGACGGCGCCGGCGAGGAAGCCGATCTTCATGTCCTTGTCGGACCGCGCGGCCCAGACGCGCTGCCAGTTGCCCTGGTTGAAGAGCTCCGCCGAACAGATCGCGATCCACAGGGTCACCAGGGCTTCGAAGCCTTTCGAAAACCAGCCCGTGGCGTCGTCGTACTCCTGCTTCGACACCTCGTTGGACTTCAGGGTGGTGGTGGCGACGAGGAGCATGATGACGACGCACGTGATGACGACGCCCTGGAACTTGTCCGTGAGGATCGACGCCGGCAGCCCCGCGAGGGCCGTGTAGGCCCAGGTGAAGAGCGCCACGCAGATGGCGATCTTCGTCGTGAAGTGCTCGGAGTCGTCGCCGGCGACGGACTTGCCGACCAACGTGGCGTAGACGTTGCCGATGGACGTCAATTCCGCGACCATGTAGATGTACATGTAGAAGCAGCTGATGCAGCAGACGTGGAGGTGCATGAGGCGGCCGTAGCGGCTCAGGGCGAAGTCCGTCGCCGAGAAGCCGGAGGCGGCGCCGACGACGGTCTTGATGCGCGGGCCGAGCCAGCAGAGGAGGACCGCGGGGAACGCCGACGCCGTCGAGTAGCCGATGACGCCCCACCACGAGATGGGCCGCGTCGCGCCCATCTCCGTCGTGCCGTAGACGATCCAGGCGCCCATGCCGGACGCGAAGAAGCTCAGCGCGATGGAGTACCAGGCGCTCTGGCCGCGCGCGCTCAGGAAGCCGTCGCCGGGCCGGAGCACGTCCTTGAACGTCGACCCCTTGTCGAGGACGATGCCCGCGACGCAGAGCAGGCCCGTCAGGCAGAGCACGCCGAAGAGGATGCCCATGGCGCCGCCCTCGGGCACCGTGTAGGGCTGAGCTTCCTGGAGCAGACGTCCCGACATGGTTGAGTGTGTAGGTGAACTTCGGACCTCCCCGACGCCTCAATTACGAGGATCCGGGTCTTGACGCTGCTTCTCAGAGCTCAAAAGAGCCCGCGCGTGGTCCGGGAGCTGGTGCTAGCTTGCGAGCGCCGTCGTTCCGAGGTGACGGAAACGGCGGTGGCAGTCGAAATAGTCGATGTAACGCAGCGATTCGAGGGCTCGTTGAAGGGTCCGTGAAGTCGCAATCGTGAGTCGCTAGCCATTCGTCGGGCATGGTTACGCGGGGGCGCCGCGGTGCGTGGGCGCCGCGCGCGCTCAGGCGACGGGGTCGTCCGCGCCGCCCGAGAGGGCCTCGGGCGGCACGCAGTGGGCGACGTCGCGGTTCGTCGTGAGCCACGTCTTGGCGACCCAGAGGACGTGGGCGAGGTCCTGGCCCGGCGCCGCCGCGAGCTCGAGGGCCCAGCCCGCGGGCACGAAGAGCGCGTCGCCCGGGCGCACGCGCGCGCGGAGCGCGGCGCCGCGCGCGCGCTCGGGCCAGGGCCCGGCCGGCGCGGCCGCCGCCGCGGCGCCGGGCGCGCGTTCGGCGTCCGCGAGGGCCTTGGGCGGGACGAGCACGGCGTCGAGCGCGCCGTGGAGCGCGAGGAGGGTGGCGTCCGCGGGCCCGCAGGCCCAGGGCTCCGCGTGGTCCGGCGACGCCCACGTCGCCTCGAGCTCTCCCGCGAAGTTCGGGCGCGCCTCGAGGCCCAGGTCGCGGCCGAGCTGGGCGAGGGGCGCCTCGAGGAGCGCGCCCGCGACGGACCCGTTGAGGCCGAAGACGGCGGCCGCGGCGACCTTCCGCGGCGAGCCGAGCCAGGCCGCGAAGGACGCCGCGGTCACGGGCGCCGTCGCGGGGGCCGCGACGTCGTCGACGCGCAGCGCGTCGGCGACGCTCCGGGGCGGGCCGTCGGCCCGCGGCGGCGCGGCGCCGCCGCCGCCGGGCAGCCGGAGGCCGACGACGCGCCGCGGCCCGAGGAGCTCGAGGAAGGGCTCGAGCGCGCAGGCCGCGAGGCGCACGCGCCCCTCGTCGCCGCTGCCCAGCGCGCCCGCGAGGGCCGCGGGGGCGCGGTTCCGCCGCGCCGCGCGGAAGCGCGCGGCGTCGGTCGCATCGAGCCGCGCGACCGCGTCGGGGACCTCGGGCCGGTGGAGGGGCGAGTAGGCCGGCCGCGCCGCCGCCGCCGCGGGCGCCGACTCGCCGGCGGGCGGCGCCGCGCCGTCGAGCGCCGCGCGGCGCGCCTTGACCTGCGCCGGAAACAACCCGTGAGCCGGGTTATCCCGAACGAACTTCGGAACTCTCGAGCTCGGTCAAAGTCGATTCGGCTGATGTTTGGACGAATCGATCGCTCTCGTCGAGTTCTCGAAGCACGGCAGAAAGCCTCGCGTCGAAACAGTGCGAATACGCGCACATGGAAGTCGCGTGGAATCGTTTCGTTTCCCGCCCGGGCCTCGACCGTCGCGCGCCGCGCGCCGTGCGCGCGGCGGAGCGACTTGTCGAAGAGGTGCGCGAAGGCCGCGTGGCCGCCCCGCAGGAAGTCGAGGACCTCGTCGGCGTAGGCGACGTACTCGCAGGCGATGGCCGCGGGCGCGCGGCGCGGCGCCGCGCGGCCCGCGTTCACGGCTTTGAGTTTCGCAATGTCCGCGGAGCCGAGGGTGACGGGCGCGCTCTGCAGCGGCTCGTCGTCGCTGCTGAGGCCGTCGTCGCCGCCGTCGTCGACGGCCGGCGCCGCGAGGCCCAGGGTCGCCGCGGCCTCCGCGGGGTCGAGCTCCGTCATCACGAGCTCGTCTCCGTCGTCGTCGCTGCTGTCGTCGTCGTCCTTCGCGACGAGGACCGTGGAGCCGGGGCTCGTCGCGCTCAGCAGCACCTGGACGCTCACGCCGCTGAGCTGCTCCAGGAGGCCCCGGAGCTCGTCGGCCCCGCGCGGGGGCGCCGCCGGGGCGGCGTCGGCGTCCGCGCCGCCCTCGTGGTCGCCGGACACCTCGCCGTCGCAGCGCAGCTCCGACAGGAGGCTCGTCGCCGTGTGGATGGCCGCGAGGGCCTCGTCCAGCGCGCCGCTCATGGTCCCGGGAGCCGCGGGGGCCGCAAAGACGACTTCGTCGTGTGGCCGCGAGCGCCGCCGAGCTTCTGCGGGGGGCAGCATGAAGGGCAGCATTCCCAATGATGCACCCACGGTGAAGTGTGCGTCGGCGGAGGTGGGCCGGGCTTTTTCGATCATTTCCGGTTCGAGACGAGCGTACTCGAGGCCCGAGTCGAGGTTCCGGACCATCAAAAACGCCATGTCGGCGCTCCTCGAGGAGCTGCCGCCCATCGACGGCTTCCGCACGGACCGCCTCGAGGAGCTCACGGTCAAGGAGGCGGCCTACCACACGAAGACGAGCCGCTTCTACAAGCTCGTGGCCCACACGGCGCGCGGCTGGCCCTTCCCCTTCGACGACCTGCACCACCGCAAGTGCATCATCGTCAACGTCGGCATCCACGGCCCGGACGCGCGCGAAGAGGTCGCGGCGCTGAAGCGGATCTCCGACGACATCTCGCCCGTCGACGGCGTGCAGATCCTCGCGTTCCCGTCGGACGAGTTCGGGCCCAAGTTCACGGACCAGGAGTTCGTCGACTTCTTCGTCTCCTGCGGCGTCCACCCCAACGACGCGAGCTTCCGCCTCATGGCCAAGGTCCGCGTCGACGGGCCCGACGCGCACCCGGTCTTCAAGTACCTGCGCCTCATGTCGAACACGGAGAAGATCGGCCGCGACTTCGGCGCCTACTACTACATCAACCGCAACTCCCACATGCAGGGCGTCGGCGCCCACGCGCGGGCCATGTACGCCGTCCTCGACCGCGAGCGCAACGACACGGGCGTCCCGGACAAGTACACGCGGAAGGCGCCGCCGCCGGGCAAGTCCCTCCCGGGCTACCCCGCCGTCGCGGCGAACTAGGGTTTTAATGTCTTAGTGGGCGACGAGGTGGGCCAGGGGCGCCGGCGGGCCGAGGAAGTCGACGAAGGTCACGGCGCCGGCGACGCGGAGCGTGAACTCGTTTCGCGCGCCGACGGCGTCCCCCGACTGCTGGAACGGGTAGCGCTTGCCGTCCAGCAGCGCCACGGTGAACTCGTCCCCGAGGAAGTCGAAGGCCTCGGCCGGCGCGCGGTAGTGGCCCGCGAAGACGCCGAGCACGTTCGGCACGAAGCGCCACGGCGACATCGTCGCGACGCGGAGGTGGAGCTTGCCGCCCGGGTCGCTGCGCGCGAAGGGGAAGAGGCGCAGGCCGCCGCCGTAGAAGGGCGTCGTGCCGCCGGCGACGATCGTCGCCGCGCCCTCGTAGAGCACGTCGCCGCCGTCCGCGTGCCGCACCCTGACCGCGGCGTCGCCGCGGCGGCCGTCGACCCAGGCCGCGTCGGGCGAGCTCACGCGCACGCGCATGGCGCGCCGGCCGCCGACGTAGCCCGGCAGCGTGCGGAGCGCCGTGGCCACGAAGTAGCCGAAGACGCTGCCGAGCGGCCTCGCGAGCGGCGTTCCCCGGACGGACCGGACCAATCGCTCGTAGTCGTCGAGGATGAAGGCGTCGTAGCCCATGCCCGCGATGAAGCAGAGGTCGCCGCCCCCCGTCTCGAGGATGGGCACGTCGAGCGTCCGCCGCGGCGCGGACTCCCGCAGCGCGTCCACGCACCGCCGCACGCCCCGGGGCCCGCGCCACGCGCGGTAGCCGCGGCCGCCGACGTAGCGCGCCACGGCGTTGCCCGTGCCCAGCGGCAGCGCCGCGATGGCCGGCACGGCCGCCAGGTCCCCGGCGGCCGCGCGCAGGAACGCGACGGTCGACGCGAGCGTGCCGTCGCCGCCGCCCGCCAAAACGACGCCGTAGCCGCGGTCGACGATGACGCGCGCGGCGACCTCGGCCTCGTCGAGCGACGCCGTCGCGAAGACGTGGGCCTCGCCCAGGGCCTCCCGCGCCGCGCGCACCGTGGCGCCGTTGACGCCGCGCGCGTTGAGCGACAGCATGGCGCAGACGTCGTCGCCGGCGCTCGTCGTCGCGCCCGCCGCCGACGCGCCGCGCGCGGGCGACGCGCGGAGCGGTCCGCGCGGCGGCGCGAAGGCCGCCGCGACCGCGAGGCCGCACGCGACGGCCGTCGCCAGGCGCATGGACATGTTGCTTCTGCCTCGCAGGCTGGGCTCCCGAGGCGTGTGCGCCTCAACATGGCCGATCTCGTGATCACAAAGGTTTGATGGTGCCGTGCCGTGCATTGGGTTGGCGTCGCCCAGATTCTCGGCAGCCCCCAAACAATCATTCGTCGTGCCATCACGCCCGTCCCAATTGCGGCGGACGCGGACGTTGGCATCGCGGCGCGGGACGGACCGGAGCGATGGCGTCCCTCGAGGAGCAGATCACGGACTCGCGACGGAACCTGCGGACGACGCCGACGTCGCGCGGCGACGACGACGACGACGACGACGACGCGGAGCCGGCGACGCCCCGGGGCACGGCGCGCTGGTTCGCCGAGAAGATTTTCGGCGGGGGCAGCCCGAAGAAGGAGAAGCGGCGGCCGGCGCCCGCGACGCCGGCGGCCGCGCCCGCGCCCGCGACGCCGGCGGCCGCGCCCGCGCCCGCGCCCGCGCCCGCGCCCGCGGCGCCCGCGACGCCGCCGCCCGCGGCGGCGGCGGCGGCGAAGCGGCCGATCCCCGCGACGCCGACGCCCGCGACGGCGGCGGCGGCGAAGCGCCCGATCCCCGCGAAGCCGACGCCCGAGAAGGCGACGAGCAAGCGGCCGTCCAAGGTCGTCGACCGCTGGGCGCAGGGCGTCGAGGCGGCGCGGAAGCAGGAGGCCGAGCGCGTCGAGGCGCTCAAGACGCGCGTCTACCTCGACTCGCTCGTCCGGGACCGGCTGCGGGCCCTCGAGCTCCGGCTCGGCGAGGTGCCCGAGCGGTTCCGCGCGATGATCCATACGGGCGCGACGGTCGGCGACCTCATCGCCGCGCTCGAGGCGCGGCTCCGCGAGCTCGGCGGTGACCTGAGCCGCGGCGAGGCGCGGGACCTGAGCCGCTGGCTCGCGGCGCTGACGGGCGCGCCCGTCGACGAAAACGAGGCCGCGGGCGCCGCCGAGGGCGCGGAGCGGCGCCCGGGCCGCGCGCGGCCGCTGCTACTCCGCCGTCTCGCGGCGCGCGCTCGAGCTCGAGGCCGCGACGGTGACGGTGAAGATCCGCGACGGCGACGACGCCGCGGCCTACGACTGCGGCGCGCGCGAGTCGCTCCGCCGCGTCTTCGCCGCCCACGCGCGGAGCCGCGGGCTCCGGCCCGAGGACCTCGCCTACTTCGTCCCGCCCCTGCGCACGGCGCTGCCCCACCAGTGCCCCGCGGACCTCGGCCTCGACGGCGACGAAGCGCCGCCCCTCGTCTGCGTCGGCCTCAAGGCGCCCCCGGCGGCGCGCGGCGCGGCGTAAGGGTGAGGGCTCCGGATCCCGGCGAGGTCACCAACGGTTGTCAGTGAGGGGGGTCATCGTGCGTGATTGGCCGGATTGACCGCCTTGGACGGACGCCGTCGGATGGGCAGCCAACCGCGATCGGACGATCGGACAATGAGCCAACCGCGATCGGACAGGGACGAGGCCATTGGACGAAGCTAGCGGCCATTGGACGCGACCCCCGGCCATTGGACGTCACTAGTAAAGTTGTTGGCCGTGAGCGGCGTCGGGGCAGCCTTCTCGCGAGCGACCACCCGGAGCGCGTCGATTCCGGCCGGCTATGTTGCTTCTGGGCCTGCTGGCAGGGCTGCTCGGGGTCTGCGGAGCACAGGTCGCCGAGGTGTTCGTGTTCCACTCCAACAACTACAATGAGGCCGCCGGAGACTACAAGCTGTGGGACTGGTCCAAGGTGACCACCGTCGCCGTCTGGAAAGATCGCCTGCTGGAGGAGCCGGACATCGTGCCCTTTGCGCGGGCGCGGGGCGCCAAGGTCGTCCTGGGCGGCTTCGGGATGAACGCGGAGCACTTCTCCAACGCCAGCGCGCGCGCCGCGTACGTCGGCGCCGTCGTCAACCTGACCTCCGCGTTCCGCTTGGACGGCTTCAACGTCGACATCGAGGGCAACGCGCCCGAGCACCGGGACGCCGTGACCGCGCTCACCTGCGACCTGAAGGCCGCGCTCGGGCCCGCGTCGATGCTCACGTTCGACCTCGGCGCGGCCCCAAAGTCCGAGATTGACCGCTACGACTTCGCGGGCCTCGGCGTCTGCCTCGACTACATCGTCCCGATGATCTACGACATGGTCGGCGGCTGGCCGGAGCTCTCGCCCGGACCCAACTCGCCGCTGGGCGCGGTGCGGACGTGCGTGGAGGAGTACTCCGAGCTGGGCATCCCGCCGTCGCGGCTCATCCTCGGCTTCCCGTGGTATGGCTACGACTTCCCCTGCGCGGCGGGCACGCCCGCCGGCTCCGGCGGCGCGTGCGTGATGGCGCAACCGCCGCCGCCGTTCCTGCAGCTCGAAGCCGGCTACGGGACGGTCCTCGACACGTGGGAGCGGCGCGGCGCGTCGGTCGCGGGCGCGGGCGTATCGTGGGACAACACCTCGAGCACGCCGTGGTTCGAGTATGCCGCGACGGACGGCAGCATCCACCAGTGCTGGTACGACGACCCGCGGTCGCTGGCGCTCAAGTACGCGGCCGCCGCGGAACACAGCGCGCGCGGAGTCGCCTTCTGGACCGGAGACTCGTTCCACAGGGCCAACGGCACCAAGAGCGCCGGCGCAGCAAGGGACATGTGGGCGGTCGTGCCGACTCCCGCGCGGCCGTAACTTTCCGAGTCGACAAGCAAAGACGGAGCAGGAGGTTGAGATTGAACCTCTAATTGAAGGCAAAGTTGAAGTCTTGCGTGTTCGCGGAACACCCGGAGCTTGCTTGTGCCGCGCGCGCGCCGTGCAATTGCCCGGGCAGCCGCCGGCGTGCAACCGCCGCTGGCATCGCGTCCCGCGGCGCCGACCATGGCCGACTCCTTCGACGTCGTCGTGAGCAAGCTCTCGCGCGTGACCTTCGACGACGACTGCACAATCAAAGCCGTCGGCGTCGAGCTCGTCGGGTCGCTGCGGCCCGGCGACCGCATCTCGCGCGTCGACTACGCCAAGGTCGACGCCGCCGCGCTGGCCGCGCGCCTCGAGCGGCAGCTCGCGCTGCAGGCCGAGGCGCCGTGCACGCTCACCGTCGAGCGGCGCGCGCCGGCGCCGCCGCGGCGGGGCCAGGACAGCCCGAAGCCGCGGCGCCGGGCGAAGCAGAGCTTCTGGTCGCGGCTCATGAAGGGCAAGCGCTGCGGCGACGAGCCGCGGTCGCCGCGGAGCCCGGCGACGCCGCGGTCGCCCGCGGACCACTGCGCGATCGACGTCTGCGGCAGTCCGCGCGACTCCTGGGCCAACTACCCCTGCGGCGGCCGGGCGAGCTCCCTGAGCCTGACGGCGCCGCCGACGTCGCCCGCGTCGCCGCTCGCGCGCAAGCGCTGAGCCCCCTCCCCGCGAAGATGACCCCGCGCCGCGCCCCCCCGCGGCGCCGCCCACGACCACGACCCTCTCTATGTAAAGGAACGACGAATCCGCGAGCAGAGGCCCGCGTCGCGGGAACCTCCACGTAAGCGAAAAGGGAACGACGACTCCGCTAGCACAGGCCCGCGTCGCGCGAGAGGGGCGGCGGCCTGAGCTCCGCGCGGGCCGTCGGCGCCGTCCGGCGGTGGAGCAGGGCCGCGTGCGCGGCCTTGCCGAGAGCCCAGAGCGCGAGGAGCGCCGCCGCGTGCGCGCCCTCGCGGTTCCGCGGGCCGACGACGGGCATGACGCTGGTCAGCCGCGCGAGCGCCGTCGCGCCGCCGCAGGGCCGGTCGAAGTCGTCGCAGAAGCAGACGCGGCCGCCGCCCGCGTCCGCGCAGGCCTCGTAGGCGGAGACGGCGAGCGCGTCGCGCCTCACCATGCTCGGGATCATGAACGTGTAGGGCGTCGCGTAGTGGCCGAGCACGAGCGGGCCGACGAGGTCCCCGGCGCCGACGACGACGCCGCCGAACATGAGGCCCGCGACCGTGTAGACGACGTAGGCCGCGACGGCGACGGCCGGCTCGCCCGCGGCCGCCGCGCACGCGCCCGCCGCGGCCTCCCAGGCGAGCATGCCGAGCGCGAAGAAGGGCACCAGGACGGCGGGGCTCGCCCCGCCGCCCGCGAGGCCGTAGTAGGGCACCGCGAGCCCCGCGACCGCGGCGACGACGGCGTTCGGCGCCGCGACCGCCGCCGTCGCGAAGACGTAGTCCGCGGCGCCGTGCGCGCCGTTGCGGACGTCGCGCGCGACCCTGGCCTGCTCCGACGCGTAGGCGTGGCACGCGAGGAGCTGGACGACGGCCGGCAGGGACGCGAGAAAGGCCACGCACCACGCGCGCGTCACGACGGCGGATTGGGCGCGGACGTTCCGGCCGTCGGCGCGCGACCGCCAGAAGACGAGCGCCGCGACGGCGTTGGCGCCGAGCGTCGCGGCCGCGGCGCCGCGCGCGCCCGCGGCGCCGCGGGCGGCGAGAAGCGCCTGGCGCCGGAGCAGCGCGGCGACCGCGGTGGCCCGCGGCACGGGCGCCCGTTGTTCCGTCGGACCCGGCGGCGGGCCCGGCGGCGGCGGCGGCGCGGCCGCCTCCGCGGCGGCCCACGCGTCGAGGACCGTCGCGACGCCGGCCTCCCCGGCGACGTGCGCGTCGAGGGCGTCGAGCGCGAGCTCCGCGGGCGCCGGCGCCGCGAGGCCGAGGCCCAGCGAACGGACGTGGGGCTCGAGGCCGCCCGTCGGGCCCCAGAACGCGACGCGGCCGCGCGCGAGGACGAGGCACGACGCGCACGTCGCGAAGACGCGGCTCGAGGGCTGGTGCAGCGTCGCGACGAGCACCGCGCGCCGCTTCGCGGCCAGGGCCGCAAGCCGCGCCGCGAGCCGCAGCGCGGACGCGGCGTCGAGGCCCGACGTCGGCTCGTCGAGGAGCAGGAGCGCGGGCGCCTTCGCGAGGGCCCGGCCGACGGCGACGCGGCGCCGCTCGCCGCCGCTGAGCGCGCCGACGCGCGCGTCCGCGACGCGCCCCAGGCCCAGGCTCGCCAGCGCGTCGTCGACGGCGCCGCCGCCCGCGCCGAAGAGCGCCGCGGCGAAGTCGAGCGTCTCGCGGGCCGTGAGCGACGGCCAGAGGGCGTCGTCCTGGGCGACGAGGTAGCCCTCGGCGCGGAACGCGCCTGCCGTGAGCCGCCGGCCGCGCAGGGCCACGGCGCCCGACGCCGCGCCGCCGCGCGGCGCGCGGCCCGACAGCGTGTTGAGCAGCGTCGTCTTGCCCGCGCCGCTCGGGCCCAGGACGCCGAGGACCGCGCCCGCGGCGGCCCGGCCGCCGACGGACGCGAGGAGCGCCCGGTGCGCGATCCGCACCGTCACGCGCGAGAAGACGAGCGACGACGCCGCGGGGCAGCGCGCGTAGGCCTCGGCGAGGCGCGCCGCCGCGGCGCGCGCGTCCGGCGGCGCCGCCGCGGCGGCGGCGCCGGGCCGTCGCGCGTCCACGAGGCCCGCGTCGCTGGCGTCGTCGTCCGACGGCGGCGCGCCGAGCTCGATGGAGATGTCCATCTCGCTTTTAGGGGGCTGCCATACGTATACTGCCCCGGAAAGTTCAAGAACGGCCCCAATTCCTTCCGACGCGATGATGGTCCCGGCGTTCCTCGCCGCCGCCGCGGCCGCGTCGGCCTCGGAGCTGCGGCCGCCGGCCCTGCGCCCGCTGGCGCCCGGCGCCGTCAAGCCCGCGGGCTGGCTCCTCGACCAGCTCCAGCTCCAGGCGCGGGGCCTCACGGGCGCGCTCCCGGAGTTCTGGAGCTACCTCGTCGACAGCGCCTGGCTGCCCGGGGGCAAGGGCAACGCGCCGCCGGAGCAGTACGTCCCCTACTACCTCAACGGGCTCGTGCCGCTCTCCTACCAGGTCGGCGGCCTCGACGCCACCCGCGACGCCATGGTCGCCGCGATCCTCGGCGCGCAGGCGAACGCCACGGCGGGCTGGCTCGGGCCGCCGGTGACGAACGCGCGCGACTACTTCACCAAGTACCCCGCCGTCGAGGCCCTGGCGCAGCACGCCGACGGCCTCGCCTTCCGCGGGGACGCCGACGGGGCCGCCGCGGTCGCCGCCGCGGTGCTGCGCCACGCGCTCGCCTTCGCCGACGCGCTCGCCGCGGGCGCGCCGCCCTTCAACGCGAGCCGCTGGGGCTTCGCGCGCTACGAGGACGGCCTCGTGGGCCTCCAGTGGCTCCTCGACCGCGACGACGTCGCCGGCGGCGACCGGGCACGCGTCGCCGAGCTCCACGACGCGCTCGTGAACGCGTCCGACGGCGTCATGGGCGGCGTCGCGCCGCCGGACGGCGCCGCCTGGGAGCCCTGGTTCGAGAGCGGCGACCCCTTTGCGAAATACGACGACGGGGAGGCCACGGGCACGGCGCACCTCCTCCGCCACGGCGTCGACATCGGCGAGGCCATGAAGCTCGGCCCGCTCAAATGGCGCCGGTCCGGCTCGCCGGCCGACCTCGGCTCCGCGGCCGTCGCGCTCGCGTGGGCCGACGCGTACCTCGGCGAGCCCGACGGCATGTTCATGGCCGACGAGGAGGTCGGCGGCGAGCGGTCGCCGAGCCGGGGCACGGAGACGTGCTCCGTCGTCGAGACCATGTACAGCATGCGCGTCGCCTACGAGATCACGGGCAACGCGAGCTTCTTCGACCGCTACGAGCGGCTCGCGTTCAACGCGCTGCCCGCGGCGCTCTGGCCCGACGCGACGGCCAACGTCTACCACCACGCGTCGAACCAGGTCGCCACGGGCGACGGGCCCTACGCCTACGACCTCTTCTACTGCTGCTCCGCGAACGTGCACCAGGGCTGGCCCAAGTTCGTCGCCGCGCTCGTCCACGTCGACGGCGACGGCAAGGCGGTCGTGAGCTCCCTCGCGCCGTCCGCGACGGCGCTGCCCGGCGGGGGCGAGCTCAGGGTCGATGGGGCCTACCCGTTCGCCGACGCCGCGACGCTGTCGAGCGACGTCGCCGTCGACCTCCGCGTGCGCGTGCCGTGCTGGGCGACGCGCGCGACGGCGGGCGGAAAACCGCTCGTCCCCTGCGCCTTCAACGACGTGCGCCTCGCCGCGGGCGAGGCTTTGGTCGTCGCCGTGGAGGCGGAAATCGCCACCAAGACGTGGGAGCCGTCGAGCCGCGACGGCCAGGCCGCGGTCCTCGGCGGCGCCGTCGAGGTCCACCGCGGGCCCCTCGCCTTCGCGCTCCGCTTCGACACGGCCGTCAACGAGACGGACATCCACGGGCGGCTCAAGCGGCGCGAGGTCGAGGCGGCGGAGGGCGCGGCGTGGAACTACGGCCTCCTCGCGGCGTCGCTGGCCTTCGACGGCGCCGCCGGGCCCGTGCCGTCGCCGCCCTTCGCCGCCGACGCGCCGCCGGCCGTCGCCGTGACGGCCGAGGCCCGGCTCGTCGACGCGTGGACGGCCGCGGGCGGCGCGCGCGGCGTCGCGCCGCCGCCCAAGAGCCCGCTCGCGGGCGACGGGCCCCGCGTCAACGTCACGCTCGTCCCCTACGGGAGCACGAACCTCCGCATCGCCGTCTTCCCGCAGCTCGAGGCCTAAGGGGTTCGTCGGCGGGGTTCCAACCGCGCGCGCGCATCTCCGGTCAACACCACGTGTGGAGCATATGTTGGACAGCAAGAAACTACATTGAAGTGATGATGCAGATGTGTTGCAGTGGATAAAACTCGAGCTGCTGATCGCACTGCCTCGCCATGCACCGCGGCTTCGGGCGCGAGGGCGACACGGGCGTCCACACCGTCGAGGGCACCAAGGCCGGGTCGCGCGCCGCGGGCCTGACCCAGCAGCGCGCCGCGGACCAGGAGGCCTACGAGGCCAAGAAGCGCAAGCTCGAGGAGGACTCCGCCCGGGGCGTCGGGCGCATCGACGACAAGTTCGACTCGACGGTGCTGAACACGGTGCTCAGCGGCGGCGGCCTGCAGACCAAGGCCCAGTACGTCGCCGCGCAGGCCGCCGCGGCCGCGCCGGCCGCCGCGCCGCCGGCCGCGGAGCCCGCGGCGCCGAAGCGGCGGAAGAAGGCCTCGAAGCGGCCCAAGGCCGTGGCCCTGAGCTTCGCCGACGACGACTGCGGCGACGGCGGCGAGGGCGCCGCGCCCAAGGCGCTCAAGTGCCCGGACGTCGAGACGTCGTTCCTCCCGGACCGGGCCCGCGACGCCGCGGCGCGCGGCGAGGCCGCCGCGCTCGCGGCGGAGTGGACGGCCCTCCAGGAGCGGGCCAAGGCGGAGCCGCTCGAGGTCGTCTACAGCGCCGCGCGGCGCGGAGACCGCGGCGTGTTTCGTTCGGGGGCCGTCGCGGCGCGGCTCGTCCGGCGCTCGCGCGCGCGAGGCCCCGCGGCGCGAGCTCCCGCGCCGCGCGAGTTCCCGCGCCGCGCCGCGCCGCGCCGCCTTGGGACCCGCGCGCCGACGCGCCGCCGCCGCGCAGGCTACTGGGACGGGAGCGGCCACCGGCGGACGCTCGAAATCACCAAGGGCCACACGATCGCCAAGTTCCTCGCGGCGTCTCTGGCGCAGCTCGAGCACGAGTTCCCGGACCTGCGCCGCGTCCACGTCGACAACCTCATGTACGTCAAGGAGGACCTCGTGATCCCCCACCACTTCACCTTCCACGACCTCATCGTGTCCCGCGCCCGCGGCAAGTCCGGCCCGCTCTTCCGCTTCGACGCGAAGGACGACGTCCGCCTCGGCCCGACGGACGTCCGCGTCGAGAGCGACGCGACGCACCCGGGCAAGGTCGTCATGCGCGCCTGGTTCGAGCGCAACAAGCACATCTTCCCCGCGAGCCGCTGGGAGCCCTACGACCCGGCCGTCGCCCGCGACGACCGCTACACGGTCAAGGGGGACTAGCGCCGTAACGGCCCTCGGCCTTCGGGCGCGTCTCCCCTCGGCGAGCTGCGCAGGGCAGGTCGCGCGGGGCCCGATGCAGGTGGCGCCCGCGCTACGCCGCGACGTCGCCGCGACGAGGCCTGCGACGGCGAGACGCGACGGCCCTCCAGGGGTCGCTGCTCCCGTCGGTCGCGCGCTCAGGCCTGGCCATGGCTGCCTTCAAGGGCGGCTCCCCGTCGTTTTCCCCATACCCCTTGCTGTGAAAGCGCCAACTTGAAGGCCTACTTGAGCTTCATCTTGACGCTCAATCAGCAGAGCTTGGCCTGCCTGTGCAACCCGCGAGAACGCGCGCGCGCCAACCCGATGGCTTCGCCGGCGAATCTCAGCGAGCAGGTCTCGCTCGCGTTCCAGTGCATGGCCAGCGTCTGTTGGGCGGTCGGCGCGGCGCTCGCGGGGCCGAAGAATGCGGCCGACTACTTGCAGTTCCTAGCCGCTTTGGCCTGGTGCGTCGCGAACCTTTTCGCCGCGCAGTCCATGCGGTCCAAAACACCAGTTCAAGCGCCTCGGTGCGCCATGGGCGACGAGGCTGGGGTGGAGATGAACTGAGCGCGCGCGCGACGAGCGGCATCGGATTCGGCCCGCGCGGCCGCGACTCGCGGCGACGCGGCCGCGGGCCTCGACCTCTCGCGCGATCGGGGCGCGGCGCGCCCTCGCCCGGATCGCGGGACCGTTCCGGCGCCAGCCCGGGACTCCGCCGGCGGCGTCTTCTCGGAGGCGCGCCGCGCGAAGGGCCGCGGCGTCTCCCAGGAGGCGAGGCGGGGGAAGGCGATCAGCTTCGCCCGGAGCTTCCGCGCGCGCTCTCCGGCGGCGTGCAGGGGCCCGCGCGTCGCGGCGCCGACCGCGGAACCACGGGCGGAAGAGACGGCGCGCGCTCCCGCGCCGCCGCCGCGCGGCCGCCGGCCGCGCGGAGCGCCGCGACGGCGAAGGACGGCGCCATCGACCCGGCCCTACCGGGCCGCGCTCGTGGCGCGCGTCGACATGCCTGCGTTCGGCGCGCGCGCGCGCGCGAGCGGGCCACAACTCCGCCTAATGAAGGTGTTGAAGTTTGAGTTGTAGCCTTGTTGCAGGCCTTGAGACTGGATGAGTGCTCTCGGGGCAGGATCTCCGCGCGCGGTGGAGCACCGCTGCGAGTGCTTGAGGTCGCACTCCGCGGGATGGCGGCGCGCGCGGTGCAGGCGGCGACGGTGCTCGGCGGCCTCGGCGCCGCCGCCTTCACTGCGCGCGAGTGCGCCGCGCACGCGTCGAAGGCGGGCACGGTGCTGTGCATCCCCTGCGCCTTCGCCGCCGCGGCGCTCGTCGCCGGCGCCGGCGGCGCCTACGTCAGCTCGGAGGGCTTCGCGGACTCCGTGCGCGACCGCGACGCCGCCGCGGCCGCGCGCGGCGACGCGGACGCCGCGGCGATCAAGGCGCGCGAGGACGCGCGCTTCCGGGCCGCGGACGCGGAGATCCGGGCCGAGCGGCGCCGGCGGCGCGACGAGGCCGCGCGGCTCGACCGCTACGTGGACCCGCGCACGCGCCACTAGGCCCTAACTCTACGTCGACGCCGTGCCTTACTCGGCCCGCTCGGTCACGGCCGTCCAGAGCGCGCGCCGCTCGGCCCTAACTCGACGTCGATTGCCTTACTTGGCCCGCTCGGTCACGGTCATCCAGAGGCCGTTGCGCGTGTGGATCGTCGCGCCCGTGTTCGTGCCGACCTTGTCCGGCGTGTCCGTCGGCCCGGCGAAGTCGAAGTCGAAGCGCTGGAGGAAGCCCGCGAGCGCGACCGTCGCCTCCATCATGGCGAACTGGTCGCCGACGCACTTGCGCGCGCCGCCGCCGAAGGGCAGGTAGGCGAAGTCCGCCGACGTCTCCGTCGGGTAGAGCGAGCCCATGCCGTCGCCGGCCTTCCACTTGGCCGGGTCGTAGCCGGCCCACGTGGGCTCGTCCGGGTTGGCGTACTTCTCGAGCCAGCGCTTCGGGTCGAAGGAGTCCGGGTTTTTCCAGTAGCGCGGGTTCCGGTGCAGCGAGTAGATGGCGATGAACATGTCGCACGCGCGCGGCACCTTGACGTCGACGGCCCGCGCGCGCAGCCCCGACGCGTCGAGCTCGTCCGTGTCCGGGAGCTGGACCGTCGGCACGGCGTCGTCGTCGACGGCGCGGCGGATGAGGAGCGGCGGCTGCGGGTACATGCGCAGCGACTCCGCGACCGTCAGCCGCGTGAGCTCGACGGCGCGGACCTCGTCCAAGGTCCGCGGCGGCCGGCCGCCGGGCAGCTTCGCGTCGAGCTCCGCGCGCAGCTCCTCCAGGAGGGGCCGGTTCTGCGCGAGCTCGAAGAGGCACCAGGTCAGCGCCGACGCCGTCGTCTCGTGGCCCGCGATGAGCATCGTCATCAGGTCGTCTCTCAGCTGCGTCGACGTCGCCTCCTCGCCGCGCTGGTCCACGAGGAAGCGCAGCAGACTCGGGTTCTCCATGGTCGCGTAGTCGCGCCGCTCCAGCTCCTCCGTCGCCTCCTCGACGCGGTCCGCGAGCGCCGCGGCGATGGCCTTGTTGAGCTCCCCGTTGAGCAGGTCCATGTTCTCCGTGAACGCGCGCTGCCGCGGCACGACCTGCATGGCCCCGGGGATCTTCCAGTAGGGCGCCGGCGTCATGGACCGGTGCTCCGCCTCGCGGAGCGTGTCGATGGCCGCCTTGACGACGCGCGACGGCTCGCGGACGCTGTCGAAGTCGTAGTTGAAGACCGCGGAGCCGATGATGTCGAGGGCCAGGGAGCCGAAGCGCTCCTCGAGGTCCACGGGCTCCCCCAGGGGCAGCTCGGCGTTGAGGAGCTCCGTCTCGTCCGCGAACATGGTCAGCATGCGCGCGAGCCACCGCTTGTGGAACGCGGGCACGATGGCCCGGCGCCGCGCCTTCCACGTGACCGGGTCCGCGGGGATGAGGCCCTTGCCCATGATGTCCTCTAAAATCTCCGCGAGGACGCCCTTGTTGTAGCCGCCGTTGTTCTCCCGGAGCACGTGCTTGGCGACGGCGTGGTCGCTGACGACGATGAACGACTTGGGCCCGAAGCAGAGCTTGTAGACGGGGCCGAAGCGCTGGCTGTACTCGTGGAGCCCGAGGTAGAGCGTGCCGTCGGCGAGGCCGCTGATGTCGCCCTCGGCGAGCGGCGCGCCGTCGAAGGACGGCGCGTCGCCGTAGATCTGCTCGATGTTGCCCTTGAAGATGCGCATTGTGTCGCCGAGCACGAGCTCGGACCCGGCGGCGCCGGCCTTGGTGAACGGCAGCGCCCAGAACCCGTCCCACCACCAGGGCAGGCCCTCGTCGTCGCCGGACTTCTTCGGGCCCTTGACGTTGTAGAGCATGGACTCGTCGGCGCCGGAGAGGTCCCCGGCGGCGACGCGCTCGCCCTCCTCGATGACGCGGCGGACCGTCGACGGCCGGCACACCGCGGGGCCGGGCGCGACGAAGGCCGACGCCGCGGCCGCGACGGCCGCGACGCGCCAGAAGCGGCGGCCAGTCGCGTCCATACTTGAGCTTCGATGTCTCGCCGGCTCCGACGTCAACACGAGTGTTGAGAAGATCAATCAAAAGGGCTGCCCGCGCCCGGTAACATTCTGCCGACAAACGCGGCGCTGGTGCGGTGCGGCGGGGCCCCATGGAGCGGGACGAGGTCGTCGTCGACGACGCCGAGCTCGCGGCGGCCATCGCCGAGACGCAGCGGCTCCTGGGGCCCATCATCGTGACCCCGCTCCTCAGCGGCCGCATGCTCGCGAAGCCGCCGGTGAAGTTCATCCACGGCGTCTTCGTGTCCGTGCGCGCGGCCACGGGCTTCGGCGCGGGGCTGCTCGGCGAGGCCGCCGGTGACGACGACGCCGGCGGCGCGTCGCCGGGCAGCGGCGACGTCGGCTTCGGGTCGGGCGCCGCGGGCCGGGGCTCGATGATGCGCGCGGAGCACCGACGGCGCGAGCCGCCGCCGGAGACGCGCGCGGAGCGCGTGCGCTTCCTCGTGAATCTCATCGGCCTCGTCGCCAACGCGCTCGGCGACCGGTCCATCGAGGCGCGCTGCGCGCCGAACAAGATCCTCTCCGGCGAGGACCCGCGCGCGGGCAACCTGTTGCTCCAGAAGCTCGCGCGCGCGACGGCGCTGGGCCAGGACGCGTCGGACCGCGCCGTCGCGCTGACGTTGGAGACGGGCGAGGTCGCGCTCTACCAGCGGGCCATCGCCATGCGCCGGACGCTCGCGCGGTGCCAGGCGCGCGCGCGGGGGTCCGTGATCCGGAAGCTCGGCATCATCCCCCAAAAGCGGCCCGAGACGCCGCCGCCGCCGCCCGTCGTCGTGCTCGTGCGGGACACGCGGGAGCAGGATTTGGCCGACGAGGCCGTGGCGCTCTGCCTCGCCGCGCGCGACCGCGCGCGCGACGCCGAGGCCGCGCGCGTCGCCGTATCCGCGGCGCGGCAGCTCCTCGCGGAGCTCGACCGGACCCGGGCCGCGCAGCTCGAGTGCGCGCGCAAGCTCGCGGAGCTGCGGGCCCAGCAGGAGCACGTGCGCGTCCAGGAGGGCCTCCTCGCGTCCAAGGCGCTCGCCGTGGACCGCCGCGAGGCGCGCGCGCTCCGGCTCGGCGACAAAGCCAAGCACGAGCTCGCGAAGCTGCGGCCCCTCCGCGAGGATCTCGAGAAGCGGCGGCCGCCGGCGAGCGTCGAGCTCTCGGGCGACGAGGCGCCGGCCGCGCCGCCGGCGCCGAAGCGGGCCTTCCGGCCCTCGGGTGTCATGCAGAAGGACGGCGCGGGCCTCGCGGCGCGGCCGCAGCCCGAGTCGCGGAGCCCCGCGCGCGTGTCCGCGGCGCCCATCGCCCGGAAGCGGCGGCCCAAGCACGCGCCCGGCGGCGCCGGCGTCTCCTACGCCAAGGCCGCGCGCGCGCGCGAGAAGGCGCGGCGGTCCAAGCTCGAGCGCGGCGCAAACGACAGGGTCCGCGACCGGTCGCTCGCGGACGTCCGCGACGGCCTCGCGAGGCCGCCGAGCCCCGGCGCGGACATGAAGCGCGCCTACCACGCCCTCGGCGGCCAGGGCGGCATCTTCGGCAAGTTCCTCCGCCAGCAGCTCGAGGAGCTCAAGGCCGACGGCGCGCCGCCGCCGCCGCCGTCGCCGCCGGGCGCCAAGCCCGGCGTGCCCCGCCAGGCGGACCTCCGCCGGGACCGCGCGAGGCGGCGCCTGCGCCGCGGGCCGCACTCGGCGCACGAGCCGCCCCCGGCCAACGCGATGCGCGTCGTCGACGGCGCCGGTTCGCCCGGCGGCCGGCGAGGCCTCGCGACGCCGGACATGCTCCGGCTCATCCTCGACAAGACGCAGCAGGCCGAGGTCGAGGAGGACGTGGCCGGGGAGGCCGACGCGCCGTCGGCCCCGACGCCGCGCGTCGTCGACGAGTCGCCCGCGGCCGACGCGACGCCGCCGCGGTCCGCGCGCGTCGTCGACGAGTGCCCGGCGGCCGACCCGGAGCCGGCCGACGCGCCGCCGGAGCCCGTCGACGAGCCGCCGGAGCCGGCCGACGAGCCGCCCGAGCCCAAGCCCGTGGCGCGCCGGTCCGGCGACCGCGCGCGGCGCGCGCCGAGCCCCGATCCGCCGCCCAAGGGCCGGCGCAAGCCCGACACGTACGCGCGGAACATGCTCGCGGACATGCTCGGCGGCGGCCGCGAGGAGTCCGGCGGCGACGCGGAGACGCCCGCGCCGCCCCGGGCGCCCGCGGCGCCGTCGCACGTGCCCGAGGCGCGCGCGACGCCCGCGCCGGCGACGCCGCCGCCGGAGCCGGCGGCGGCGGCCGCCGCCGCCGAGGAGTGCAAGTCGCCCGGCGCGGCGTCGACGCGGTCCCTCGCCGCGTCGTCGACGGGCGACGACGACTACGGCGACGACGACTTCGACGACTTCGAGGAGGAGAGCGCGGGTGCCGGCGCGTTCGACGCGGGGCGCCGCTTCGGCGTCGACCACGGGTCCAAGCCGCCCATCGACCACTCCATGGGCTCCTTCATCGAGGGCGCCAACGACGAGGCCAAGTTCTTCCTCGCCAAGACCAAGGCGACGCGCGGCAAGAAGAACCCGCTGCTCCCCTGGGCGCTCGACAAGTACGGCGGCGAGGACCCCGAGGCCGGCGACCTCGCGACGCGCGAGAACACCAAGGCCAACGCCGAGGCGGCGCGCGAGCCCGGCGACCTCTACCAGCACGGCGACGGCGACGTCGCGCGCGAGGAGACGGAGAGCGGCGTGCCCCGGCCGACGCTCGGCGCGCGCATGGCCGAGGCCATGGGCTACAGCCACAAGCACCACGGCGCCGCGACGTCGCTCCAGGCCTCCGTGCGCCACCGCCAGGCGTCCAAGGTCGCCGCCGCGCGGCGCGCGACGCTCGCGAAGCTCGGCCAGCAGAGCTCCGCGCGCTTCGGCTCCGCGGGCCGGCCCTGGCGCGACGACTCCGACTCCGACGGCGGCGGCTTCGAGCGCGACGACGGCGACGGCGACGGCGCCGCCGCCGCCTTCGGCTTCGGCGACTCCGCGCGCGGCGCGCTCAGCAGCCCGCCGGGCGTCCGCGACGACGTCGACGCGGACTGGTTCGGCGCCGTCGCCGCGGAGCCGCCCAAGCCGAAGGCGCCCAAGCCCCGGCGGCCGCGCCACGACGACCGGAGCGTCGCGAACGCGGGCTACCTCAACAAGTTCGACGCGGACTTCGACCGCGCCATGGCGAAGAGCCAGCAGCTGCGCTAGCGGCGGGGCGCCCCCGGGAGAATTTGCGAGTAAGGGAGCGATGTCCAGACCAGGGGGGCCACCACCCCTCACGTAGAATGTCCCTCGGGGTTAGTCCTCCTGGAACGCGGCGAGCTTCGCCCGCATGGCCGCGAGCTTCGCCGCCTTCCGCTCCGCCTCCGCGGCCTCCGCCGCGGCGCCCGCGGCGCCCGCGGCGTCCTCCGCGGCGTCCTCCTCCGCGGCCTCCGCGGCGCCCGCCCCCCCCTGGAAGGCGGCCATCTTCGCGGCCATGGCCGCGAGCTTGTCCGCCTTGCGCCGCCGCTCGCGGTCCCTCGCGTCGCCGTCGTCGGCGCCGAGCGCGTCGCGCTTCGCGGCCGCGCGCGCGGCCTCGCGGCCGAGGAGCTCCCGCGCGTAGGGCGTCGCCGCCGCCGCCTCGAGGGCGGCGAGGTCCGCCGCGACGGCGCCCCAGCCGCGCGCGTCGTCCGGCGCGGCCGCGCGGCCGCCGCGGTCGTCGTCGCCGTCGTCGCCGAACGGCGCGCGGAGCAGCGTGCCCGTCGCGTCGCCGACGGCGACGGCGTCGCCGACGCGCAGCTTGCGCGCGCGGGGCACCGCCGCCAGCGCGAAGCCGCCCGCGGCGTCCAAACTCGTCGCGTCGACGGCCGGCCAGTCGCCGCGCCGCGGAGCGGGGTCGAGCGCGACGGAGCGGAGCCGCGACCGCAGGCTCCCGGCCTTGCGCATCTTGTTCACGAGCTCCGCGCCGAGGTAGCAGCCCTTCGACGCGTCGCAGGCGAAGCCGAGGCCGAGCTCGAGCGGATTCCGGTCGGGCAGGTTTTCGCCGAACTCGAAGCCGACGCGCGGCCGCCCGGCGCGGACGCGCCGCGCCTCCCAGGCGCCGCGGTCGCCGTCGTGGGACCCGCCGAGCACGGCGACGCGCGCGCCGGCGCCGCCCAGCGACGTGCCGCCGAGCATCCAGACGTTCTCCATCCGCCGCGCGGACCCGGGGCCGCCCGCGAGCGCGCGCCGCGCGAGGAGCTCGAGGCTCTCGCCGGGCGACCTCGACCCCTCCTCGACCGGGCCCGGCTCCTCCGTGACGTCGAAGACGACGCCCCCGTGGTCGGCGACGCGCACGTCCTCGGCGACGACGCGCTTCTCGAGCTCCGCGAGCACGCGCCGCTCGTCCTCGCACAGGAGCACGAAGCCGTCGCCGTCGCGCGCGACCGTGACGAGGTCGACGACGGCGCTCCTGCCCGTGAGCAGGCAGCTCTCCGCGTGCGCGCGCTCGCCCAGCGACGCGACGTCGCCGCTCAGGATCGCGTGCAGGAACGACGCCGCGTCGCCGCCGGAGACGCTCAGCGAGCTCAGCGGCGTCGCGCGCCAGACGAGGCGCAGCGACGACGCGCAGCGCGCGAGGACCATGGCCACCAGGAAGCGCCGGCGCATCGGGAGGCGACGACGACCGCGGGAGCTGCGGGAGCTGCGGCCGACGACACGGACGACGGCCTCTGCGGCACACCGCGGAGCTCGGCCGACCGCCGCCAGCCGGGCCGGGCCGCCGCGCGACGCCGTACGTAGGCCTCGCCGTCGGAGCGCGTCGGGAGGCGCGCCGGCCCGCGCGCCGCCGCGCGGCGAATCCGCCTTAGCTCGCGATGGCGGCGGGCGCGTCGGTCTCCCCGAGGGACAGGATCGGCGCCAGCGTCGCGAGGACGCCGAGGATCGCGTTGTCGACGAGGCCGGGCACGAAGGGCACGCCGAACAGGAACGCGAGCCCGCCCAGGCCCGCGGCCGCCGCGACGCGCGCCTCCGTCCGCCGGTCGAGCCGCACCTCGAGCGTGACCACCGCCTCCTCGAACCGCGGCGCCGTCGCCCGCGCGGCGGCGCCGCCGAGGGCGAGGACCAGGGCCACGACGACGACGACGGCGGCCGCGGCCCGCGGCCCGCGCGTCCGCGCTTCGGGCGGCGCGGCGGCGTCCGGGGCGTCGTCCATGAGGTCCCAGGACGACGACAGCGTCGCGACGAAGCGGCTCTTCGACGTCGGGCTAACATCGTCGACCATCCGCTGGAAGAAGTGCTCCGCGCTGGAGCCCAGGGGCGACGGCTCGATGAGCACCGACGACATCGGGCCACTTGGAGCCGAAGAAGGAGCTGCCCCTTATTTTGAAACGTCAAGTATGACCGTGGTGCGCGTTAATACAACGCGCTCTCGCGAGCTTGTGAGAGCCTGCGCGCGTCGCTGCGGTCGCCGCGGATCTCCGCTCATCGACCATGGGCGCCGGCGGCAGCGTCCCCGCGACGGCGGCCGACGCGCTCGCCGCGGGCCACAGCCAGGAGGAGATCGACGCGTTCCTGAAGACGCGCCAGAGCGCCTTCGTCTTCGTGAAGCCCCACGCGAACACGGAGGCCGTCCGGGCCCTCGTCAAGGACAAGTTCTCCAAGGTCGGCGTGCGCATCACGGCCGAGGGCAGCATCGACGGCCCGACCATCGACGCCAAGCAGTACATCGACCAGCACTACTACGCGATCGCGTCCAAGGCGACGATCATGCAGCCGCGGGAGCTCAACGTGCCCGTGGAAAAGTTCGAGGCCCAGTTCGGCGAGACCTGGCAAAAGGTGCTGGACGAGGGCCGCGTCGTCAACGCCCTCGACGCCTGCAAGAAGCTCGGCTGCGACGCGGACGCGCTCGACGGCGCGTGGCAGGGCAGGACAAGAGAGCGAAATTCCAAACTTCAAAGCCTCATATCTCGGCCGTTTTCCACTCGTTTCGGCTGATTTTTGGACGAGCGATCATCTCTTGGAACGGTCTCGAAGCATGGATGCTTTTTCCGGAACGCGCGCGCGCGGAACACTCACGTTGAAGCGACGTTGAATCTCTCTTGTCCTGCCCAGGCGCGTGGGCCGCGTGCAAGAAGGCGCCGCGCCGCGCGGGACGCGACCGCGGTCCGCGCGACTTCCGTCGACGCGGTCCGACGCGGGGGGTGCGGCGCTCCGGAACGCGCGCGCCGAGAGGTCGCGATCCGGGGCCGCGTCGACGTCGACGCGGCCGAGCGCGCGGGGTCCGGAGCTTCGCCGGACGCGCCTCCACCGGTCGCGTCCCGCGCAGGCGAAGCGGCTCGTCAAGTTCGGCGGCGGCTTCTACTGCGGCTTCGTCACCGTCGGCGACAAGTCGACCTACACGCTCAACGGCTTCTTCATGTCCATGCGGTCCAAGTTCTGCAAGCCCGACGTGTCCATCCACTACTACGTCGTCGACTTCGACCCCGCGGAGCTCTCCTGGGCGTCGTTCCGCGGCGACGTGCTGGGCCCCACGGACCCGGCGACGGCGCCGGCGGACTCGCTCCGCGGCCTCATCAACAGCGGCTGGCAGGAGCTCGGCCTCGCCGAGGCGCCGAACGTCGGCGACAACGGCGTCCACGCGTCCGCGTCGCCCTTCGAGGCGCTCGCGGAGAAGATGAACTGGCTCCAGCTCGACCCGAAGGCGGACTCCTTCGGGGCCGAGGTGCTCGGCCTCGTCGGCGCCCAGACGCTCGGCGAGTGGAAGGTCGACCCCCAGGTCATCCTCCCGGACGGCGGCGGCAAGCGCGGGTCCGTCTTCGACCAGCTCGAGGACAGCGACCGCGCGGCGTGCGCGGCCAAGCTCGGCGACATCGGCGCGTGCCAGAACGCCGAGTCCAAGGTCGTCGCCGCCATCTCCCTCATGCGCGCGCTCGCCTGGCTCTCCGAGGGCGGCGGCTCGCACGCGGACCCGTGCCAGAAGGCCGCGCTCGGCGTCCAGGTCCACTTCCGCGGCCTCCAGGGCCGGCGCCGCGCGCGCGAGAAGGCGGGGCTCAAGGCCTCGGCGAGCGCGCCCGCGCTCTCGTCCTAGGGCCTCGACGACCCCGATGTATTTACCCCAGACACGGGTAGCACCACGGTGTATCGCGCGCAATAAGAGATTGGTCGCCCCCGGGGGGCTCCCGACGCCGCGTTCAGCGCGGCGTCGCCGCCCCGCCGCGTCGCCGGCCGCGGCCTTCCCGCGGGCCGCCGAGCCAGACAGACTCGCGCGACCCCCCGGGGCCGGAGCGCGGCGCCGCGCCGCGCCGGATGGGCGAACGCGCCCGAGGTGTGGAATCCCGGCGCTTACGTCAGAGCCGCCAGAGCAGGACGTTGCCGTCGTCGCCCGCGGCGACGAGCTGGTCCGGCCGCGCGTCGACGCAACGCACGGCGCCGAGGCCCGCGCCGAGCCCCCACTCGCAGGAGCCGGCGCCGGAGACGTCGTGGCAGAGGAGCGCGCCGTCGCCCGCGCCCGTGAAGAGGAGGTCCCCGAGCACCGCGAGGCAGTAGGGGAAGTCCGCGTGGTCGTCGAACGAGAGGAGCGGCTTCCCGTAGCGGACGTCGCTGAGCGCGACGCGCCCGTCCGCGCCGCAGGACGCGAGGCGCGCGCCGTCGCCGAGGCGCGCGAGGCAGGACGCGGCGCCCGCGCCCCGGGGCGACGCGTGCGCGGGGATCTCGAAGGACGGCCGCGCGCCGTCGCGCGGGTCCCAGCCCCGGATGACCTGGGCAGCACAAGAGAGATTCAACGTCGCTTCAACGTGAGTGTTCCGCGCGCGCGCGTTCCGGGAAAAGCATTCACGCTTCGAGACCGTTCCGAGAGATGATCGCTCGTCCAAAAATCAGCCGAAACGAGTGGAAAACGGCCAAGAAAGGAGCCTTTGAAGTTGGGAATTTCGCTCTCTTGTCCTGCCCTGCGGATGACGCCGTCCTGGTGGCCCGTGACCACGAGGTCGCCGTGCATCTCCTCGAGCGCCTCGAGCGCGACGCAGTGGCCCGCGGCCGCGCCCGCGGGCTCGAGCGACGCGACGGCGGCGCAGCGCTCGACGTCGTAGCACGTCGCGGCGCCGCCGCGGTCGCCGACGACGGCCGTGCTCGGCGTCCAGGCCGCGCAGAGCGCGGGCGCCTTGCCCCGCTTCGGCGCGAGGACCGCGACCT